ACATTTGTTTTCTAATTCAGTAAAGACTAAAATAATGAACAAAACAGTTGACAAATTAGTAAAGAAGTTACTGCAGTTTTACCAATAATGGCTGATGTCAGAACACTCTCAGTAATAGTTATGCTTCCTTTGAATAAGTGTTATAGCTTTCTAAATTAGCTTCAAATTCTACAACCTGTAATTTAAAGAAAAATGTAAATATAAAGAAAATCATGGTTTAAGATAAGAGGTGGGCCTGAATCAGATAAAATAAATAAATATGTGTCCTCGTGATCGGACATGTTTATTATCAGCTGAATGTTAAATAGGACATATCATCCCCCTCCTCCACCTTTTCAAACAGTCCTCCTCCACCTTTTCAAACAGTCCTCCTCCTCCACCTTTTCAAACAGTCCCCTCCTCCACCTTTTCAAACAGTCCTCCTCCACCTTTTCAAACAGTCCTCCTCCTCCACCTTTTCAAACAGTCCTCCTCCTCCACCTTTTCAAACAGTCCTCCTCCACCTTTTCAAACAGTCCCCTCCTCCACCTTTTCAAACAGTCCCCTCCTCCACCTTTTCAAACAGTCTCCTCCACCTTTTCAAACAGTCCCCTCCTCCACCTTTTCAAACAGTCCTCCTCCACCTTTTCAAACAGTCCTCCTCCACCTTTTCAAACAGTCCCCTCCTCCACCTTTTCAAACAGTCCTCCTCCACCTTTTCAAATAGTCCTCCTCCACCTTTTCAAATAGTCCTCCTCCACCTTTTCAAACAGTCCCCTCCTCCACCTTTTCAAACAGTCCTCCTCCACCTTTTCAAACAGTCCCCTCCTCCACCTTTTCAAACAGTCCCCTCCTCCACCTTTTCAAACAGCCCCCTGTGGTCTAAATGAAACATCTGTGCTGTGCTTTGGTCAAAATATAACATGAATCAAGCACCAGAGGAGGTTTGTGACCCTGTAGAAACCAGCTCTCTCAGAACGCTCCGTTTTGGTGTGTGTCTCTTTAAATGCGTTTGAGTTTCCAGGTAGACATCACTCCTTCACTAGCAAGAATAACACAAAGGTTTTGCTCTAGGTGGAGTCCATGGGTGGAGATACCAGGGGAGGGGAGGGGATTTAGTTTTTACCAGAATCCCACTGTGACATCACAAGGAGAGCACATTAGAAACAGAGCATTTTTCTCTGTGTTGTCAGACTTATGCAGACCACAAACAAAGGACTGGATGGTTTATTTCACATGTTGTGGGTCAGTAGACTCTCAGGTTACACACATATATGTTCAAAAACACTGAAGAAGAGGATTTTTTCATTATACGTATGTCCCCTTTAAAGCTTTATAGAGTGTGCTTTTATTGTGTAACACGCTGCATTTCCGGTTTCAGCATCATCCTGTCTGACTTGGCGATGCTAGCTGTTAGCTGCTAACGAACCAAACGCATCCTGTCAGCACACAGGGTTGCCAGGTTCCGACCGTGTTGTCCTCCCATCACACAAGAAACATGAAGATGATCTCGGTGGGAACATCTGAGCACCTGGCAACCTCCAGAGTCCCGCTGACGTTACGTAATAAATCCTCCTGCAGTTTTACATCGTGATTTAACACATTTTAACGATGATTGTCGGGATTTGTATGATACAGATGCGTTCATGTGCAGGAAACTCAAACAGATTTTAAAAACGTTTCCTTGTACGTGCTGTTCTGTGATGTGAATGGAAACAATGAGTAAGAGAAGACGTTGTGATGATGATGAAGATGATGATGAAGAAGATGATGATGACACTGAAACTATAAATGTATCCCTCTGCTCAGAGGATCATCATCTGTGTGACAGCGCCACCTGCTGGAGGGAAACATCCACTTAATAAGATTACAGTAAATTACAGTTTCTTATGTTGATATTAGACTGATCGTCATCGATTACTTAACAATACTACAAATCTGTCTCATGTTGTTGTTGTTGTTGTTGTTGTTGTTGTTGTTGCTTCTTCCTGCATCTCCCTCTCTGATTATTGAAGCCCAGCACAGTTTCTGCAGACGGCTGTTCATCATGAGTCTGGTTCTGCCTCTCAAAGGAAGTGTTTCCTTTCCACTGTAACTTTGACAAATGTTGATTAATGTTCATTCTGGATTAAAGGTCACACAGCCTGTTATTTAAAATCCTCTTCTCCATGTTCCTCTAACTCTAACATGTGTCTCTAGTCCGTCTACAAACCCCCAATGATGAGAAAAGTCCATCCTCTCCGTCTTCTTCCTGCTCCACTTTTCAGAAAATGTGTGCTCAAACAGGCTGTTTGGAGATTTTCCCTTCATGACATCACAAAGGGCAGTAGCCCCTCCCCCAGGTGGGTGACACTCCCACAGCTAGGTGTTTGTTCTGCCCTCTGAGTCTGCCTTCTCACCGTAAACAATAGGACATGGAGCGAGAAAGACCGAGTACACCCAAGCCCTTCCAGAGAGGGGGCGTGGTCAGACACAGCTCATTTACATATTTAAAGGTACAGACACAGAAACAGTCTGTTCTGAGCAGGGCTGAAATAGAGGGGTTTATAGACATGATCAAATACAGGATCAGAGTGGATTCAGAACAAGAAACTTCACACACATGTTTTGAGGAGCTCTGAGACTTATTTAAACTAAAGAAGAGGAGGAGGAGGAGATGTCACCTTTAACAGGAAGTTTTTCTCTCCACTGTAACTTTGCTAAATGTTGGTTAGTGATGGATTAACATTGGTTCTTTATAGATAAATTAACAATGACTAAGGTCCTTTACCTGCTTTTTTGTAATGTGTCTTGAGGCTTTGTACAAATAACGATTGATTGAGATTGAAAACTCTTTGAGTGATATTGGTGTTGACACTCCAGAACTGTAGGTGGCAGTAGAGAGTCCGAAATGAAAAACGTAGAAGACGAGCCCACAACCTGCTACCAGTATCACAGAAGAAGCCAAAATAAAAAAGTAAGTCACAGTATATTCTTACATTTGTTTATGTTAATATGTAGACATAGAAAATACATGGCTTGATAGTTTTTTTTATTATAATCAATATTATGATAAATAATCATAATATTGATTAATAATAATAATAATAATAATCTTAAATGCTCCAGTAGGTGGCGGTATTGACCTTTAAATTGGGATTACAACCTACCACGAAAAAAAAAAAACACACGAAGAAGAAGCAGCCGAGGAAGTGTCGCTGCCTGACGTGACAACCGGAGGTATGTAAGAGTCACATTTACCGGAGAAACAACCCGTTTGTGATGTTACTTTCTCTCAGGGGGTTTTTAACGGATGTGTCGGTGCTCAGCGGTGTGTTACCGGCCGGGATTTGTGTGAAATGTTCCCGGTCAGGAGTGTAACTGTTACAGCCGAAAAGACGAGAAGGTCAAGCTAATGCTAGCTAGTTAGCATCTAGCTTTCACGTTGCTTTCGTTTTTAATAATGTAGACACCTGGGGGGCACAAACTGTGGGTCGAGGACTCATGGGGGTCGAGGACTCATGGGGGTCGAGGAAAGGGGTCGAGGAGGATGTGTAGGAGTCTACAGATTCCCTGTAGTTTAGTGACAGACCCGGTGTGTGTCAGAATCTGTTACTTAAAAGAAACGTCGCGCCGGACTCCGTTTAAAAAATGTATAATTTAAGACATCGTCGCTTTTCTCGGGAGGACACACCTGTCCCAGCATGCTTACACAACAGAAACTATTCCTCAGGTGTGTTCGGCATGTGTTTCATTCACATGTCATAAGTCTGGATTCATCCAGAGTGAAGTTCAGTTCAGCCACATGTCCTCACCAAACCCCGCAGACAGAATGGGACCTTTAAGCATTTCTGAGTTTTTAGTCGAAATAAAAAACTGTTGGAGGAAAAACTTCATGTTGTAAAATGTTCAACAGGAGCTGCTGTTCAATACGGCTTGGACAAAAATAACAGAAAACACTTCTTAGAAGGACAATACCAAGTTAATGGAGTTCTTTGGTGTTGGGAGGGTTACTTTTAAAACGTGTTCCCCTACAGATTACTGATTACATGTCCTAAAAGATAATCTGTGACGTATTCCCTTGGATTACTCAAGTAAAGTAATGTATTCTAAATACTTCTGGATTACTTCAAAATGGTCTCGCTGAGCGTGTTTATCTGGAACACTGAATTTACGATCTAATTACTGTCTTCAGAGAAAAAGTTATGCAAGTACACAAAACACAAATGTGGTAAAATGTGTCCTGCAACTGATTCTATTTAAAGAAAAATGGCAACCATTCAATTTCCTTTACCTTTATTAGTTTCCACAGCTCAGAAATTAGGGAAATTAAAGTGCAACATGGCTGCTGTAACAAGCAGGTGTATAAGCAAAAACATGCTTTAAATGTGCATTTTAATGTAATCTGTTACTTCCCAACCCTGAGGACTTGTCATTTTTTGTTGCCATGGTAGCAAAAGAGGTATGGCTAGTGTTTGATATTCACAAGCCCTTTTATCGAGGTTTATAACTCGGGTATGGTGATGACATCACTTGTTGGTGTGTGTGTGTTTCCTGCAGCTCCGTGTGTACTCCCTGTCATCTCTCACCCTGACGATGGTGCTGAGGGAGGTTCCAGTTGAGAACATCGCCCGTCCTCTGGGCAGAAACGAGGTCATCGGCCTGCTCTTCCGTCTCACCATCTTCGGAGCCGTCACCTACTTCACCATCAAGTGGATGGTGGACGCCATCGACCCGACCCGAAAGCAGAAGGTGGAGGCTCAGAAACAGGTTAGACGGGAGGGACGCGTCAGGATGAGTCAGCGTCGTCTAATGGAGCTTAAAGTGAATTCTTTTGTAGACTTTTTGATTTCGTCTCTTTCAGGCGGAGAAGCTGATGCGTCAGATCGGTGTTAAAAATGTGAAGCTGTCAGAGTATGAGATGAGCATCGCAGCTCACCTGGTCGACCCACTCAGCATGCAGGTAATCCCTCCTGTTTCATAACGACAGCCTTTCCGACTTATTCAAGGCAGAATGGTTACAGATTGTTGTGTGTGTGTGTGTGTGTGCGTGTGTTTTCAGATCACGTGGAGGGACATTGCCGGTCTGGACGAGGTCATCACAGAGTTAAAGGAGACCGTTATCTTACCTGTTCAGAAGAGACACCTGTTCCAGGGATCCAGACTGCTGCAGCCTCCTAAAGGTCACCAACGTTCTGCTCTTTGTTTGTGAACAAACACTTCGGGGAAAGTTTTCTTTTTCTTTTCCCCGAAAAAAAAAAAAAAAAAAAAAAAAAACTTAAAATCTCTTTTTGTTGTCATGGTAACAGGCGTGCTGCTGTACGGGCCCCCGGGCTGCGGTAAAACGCTGATCGCCAAGGCGACGGCCAAGGAGGCGGGGTTCCGATTCATCAACCTGCAGCCGAGCACGCTGACGGACAAATGGTACGGGGAGTCTCAGAAACTGGCCGCTGCCGTCTTCTCATTGGCCGTCAAACTGCAGCCGTCAATCATCTTTGTCGACGAGATCGGTATGATACACACACACACACACACACACACACACACACACACACACACACACACACACACAGATGAAGATCTAGCTGCATGTTGATTGTTCCTCCAAAAATCCTTCATATTCATATTTTTTGTGTTTGAACAGACTCGTTCCTGAGGAGTCGATCGAGCTCGGATCACGAGGCCACGGCCATGATGAAGGCTCAGTTCATGAGTCTGTGGGACGGACTCGATACTGACTACCACTGTCAGGTAAGAGTACTACAACTGTTTTCTGTTACGCTGCCATGTGCTCTGTTTATTGATTTATGTATCTCTGTGTATTTGTCTGAATCTTGAATTTCTTCGACAATAATTCCAGAGAAAGCTGTAGGAAGATCTCTGAGGGTTAGGGTTATAAAAAATCCACTCTGATCCTGTATTTGATCATGTCTATAAACCCCTCTATTTCAGCCCTGCTCAGAACAGGCTGTTTCTGTGTCTGTACCTTTAAATATGTAAATGAGCTGTGTCTGACCACGCCCCCTCTCTGGAAGGACTTGGGTGTACTCTGTCTTTCTCGCTCCATGTCCTATTGTTTACGGTGAGAAGGCAGACTCAGAGGGCAGAACAAACACCTAGCTGTGGGAGTGTCACCCACCTGGGGGAGGGGCTACTGCCCTTTGTGATGTCATGAAGGGAAAATCTCCAAACGGCCTGTTTGAGCACACATTTTCTGAAAAGTGGAGCAGGAAAAAGACGGAGAGGATGGACTTTTCTCATCATTGGGGGGTTTTTAGACAGACTAGAGACACATGTTAGAGTTAGAGGAACATGTTGGATTTAGTATAATATGTGAACTTTAAAATAAAAAACAGAAGGTAAAGAGTCAGTAACTTACACGGTAACACTGTGAAGTAAAGTTGTCATAACAATTGTGACTTTGTGTGTTTCAGGTGATCATAATGGGAGCCACTAACCGTCCTCAGGATCTGGACTCTGCTATCCTGAGAAGGATGCCCACCAGGTTCCACATCAACCAGCCTGTACGCACACACACTCGCACACACAAATACACATGAATGTATACACCAAGATGAATTAACTCTGGACTTGTGTGTGTGTGTGTGTGTGTGATGCAGAGTATGAAGCAGAGAGAGCAGATCCTCAAACTCATCCTGGAGAACGAGAGCGTAAGTTCGAACATTCACACATTGTTCGATTTCCATCTGATCTCAGAAAAGAAATCTGTCAATGTGAGAAATATTCGTCGTCGTTTGATTGAAACTTTGATCCGTCTCTGTGAAGGTCGACCTCTCAGTGGATCTCGTTGACGTTGCCAAAGGAACAGAAGGCTTTTCAGGAAGTGACCTCAGAGAGATGTGTCGTGACGCCGCGCTGCTCTGCGTCCGAGACTTTGTCAACACTCAGAGTGACAGGTACCAGTCTGTCTGTCTGTCTCTTTCTGTCTTTCACTTCTGGTCAGTGACATCAACATGTCACATTAGCAGCAGGCAATGAAACGCAGTTAGTCTTTATGGGGTGCCACAGGGCGCTGTCCTGGGTCCTTTAATGTTTATATTTTCTATGTCAAAGTTAGAAAACTCTAAATGGTCTCTCTCTCTCTCTCTCTCTCTCTCTCTCTCTCTCTCAGTCCATCAGAAGATTTTATCCGCCCAATTCATCAGTCCGACCTCCAGAAGGCGATCTGTAAGATGAAGAAATCTAAAACAGCGGGCGGACAAGGAGCCCTGCTGCACGCTGCTCTGGACTGAACACACACACACTCACACACACACACGCACACTGATCACATGAGGACCTCAGACAGTGTGTACATACTGACCTGCTGTCTCTACATGTGTTTAAATATGTTCAACGTGTGCCACTGCTTTTTTTATTAATTAAAATCGAGCGATCATGCTGCTAGGAAAAAAACGAATTTGAAGTCACAGAAACCATGAATCATATTTGTGAGTCTACAAGTTAAAAACAAAGTTACGCTTCCTCCTGCTGTAAATAAAACTCACAGTGACGGTTTTTTTATTTTAAGGTTACATCTTAACTAATCTATGCTCCAGCTGCTGCCGGGTTTAATAACATATAGCTCTTTAGTCTCCTGATAATTTCATTTAAAGTCTAAAGAAAGTTTTTACTTTTTAAGTTCTCTGTGAATTATTTCTCTGGTTTGAATGAAAAACATGAACCCTGAATTTCCCCTCCCTCTAAAAATAAAATGAAAGCCCCTCCTTCGATCAGAACTGTGACCATTCAGTGACTGAGGAGCTGTATCAAAGGACCAATCAGAACCCAGAGATCGCAAAACATGAATTATAATGTAGATTGTTATCGCGATAAATTACAATTTTAAATAACATTTTAAAATAAAGGTTTTTAGGCTTTTATTGTGAAAGTTTGTGCTGTCTTACACTGTGTCCCCAACGGCACGCGAGCGTTATATAAAGCGCTGTGTCGTGCATGTTTGTACGCTCGCTGTCCACACTGCGTCCGTTAATTATTTCGTTCTCTGCTCTGTGAATCTCAGTTCCCCCTTGCAAACATTTGTCACCATGTGGTGCTTTTATTTTGAAGGTGCACAAACTGAAGTGTGGTGCGAGCTCATTACTCAGATCCCAACACTCATCAATAAACGGCTTGCAGGGAGCTGAATAAAGTTTCCTCCAATGTTGACACAGGTCATAGGTCAACATTTCAATCATGGTGTGGATATTATCAACGCTCCGTTATCTCCACTTTGAGTGACGGGAGAGAGTGTCAGTTCCTTGTAGAGCGCCCTCCTTCCTCGACTTTTGTCCCGTCTATGCGAGCGAGAGAGATTACTTTGTTCTTGTCAGCTGAGCTGTCTGAGAGTTTGTTAAAGTGAAATGAGACATTCAAAGATGCAGCAGTGTCCTTCTTTTACATCACTGAGACTAAAGGGAGACACTGAGGACCACTATCTACGGAGAGCCTGAAGGGACAAAATAGCATGACATTAATCAGGATTAACTTTGTACAACTTTTTTCTTGATTCTCGGTTTATTATTCAACATTTTTACAGAGAGCTCTATTTTATCTTAGAAACGTCCAGAAGATCTGAAATTATCAGGATATTACAGACTCATAAACTGTTTTGTTTTCCTTTAAATGTTTACTCTGTAAAATATACAAACATGCAAGTATGAATCTAAACTCCAGAAAATGGAGCCGAAACTGTCAGAAGGGGGATTATTCATCGTTTTCATGAAGTGTACTTTTATTATTATTATTATTATTATTTTGTTTGGATTTTGGGATCCTGATGTTTCAATGAGTTTGAACTGAGCTGTGGTTCCTCGTTGATAATAGTTTACTTATTGGTTTATAAACTGTTTGATTGTGATGCCTTCAAACGTCAAATTAAAGTTTTGGTATAAATTATAAACTTGCCTGATGATTGGACATCACAGCGTCAGTTTGATGAACATAAATAAAATCAGGATCTTTTTTTTTTACAGTGTAGTTTTTGTTTCCTGTTGAGTTCTGGTGTAAAAACTGCTGGATGATGTAATAAAAACAAAATATGATGTTTAAGTGTTTTTTATTTGTCATGATAAAAATAAATCTGATTTTTAAAGGAGCAGTATGTAACTGACACCTAGTGTTTAAAATGGGTACTGCAGTCTAAATTTTAAACATAGAGAGCTGTCTCTGAAGACAAAAAACACTTTGTTCTGTTTCAGTGAAAAACGTTTATTAAAGCGCTTCAATTTAAAACATTTGGCCTCCATCGTTTTTCAATAACAATTACATTAAAAGAAGAAGCACAGAGTGAAAAGCTGAAACCGAAAAACACAAAAAGTGATCAAAGCTGACTGGCCATTTAAGCTTATTTTGGCACAAAATTTGAAAAAAGAAAATTACACCCTGAAAGAAAATAATTGTTTGGATCCCTGCAGCTGAAACGTTCATCACAGCAGCACCTGGTGGCCATTAGAGGAACTACAGCATGAAACACTTCAGCTCTGGGACCCGAAACAAACAAACAAAATAAAACTACAGAAGCAAAATTAGTAGAAAAAGAATCAAACTTGTCCCAATATTATTAAAACAGAATAAATAAAGAACATAAAACACTTTAAACCCCTGAAGAGAATCTCATCTGAATAAACCCTGTAGTGTCGACTCTGATTCACGACATTCTACTAAAGGTTAAAGGGACAGTTCACCAAAACCCACACACAAACACCTTAGACTGTAAATATGAAAATTTGAAGCCTGAGTGACGTCCCCCGTCTGTTCCTGCAGGGGGCGCTGGAGTCCCATCGATGGCGGTCTCCGTGCTGGAAATGCTGTCTCAGTCTAACTTTCAGTCAACCTAACGACAGGCTGAGAGCTGGAGCTGAGGCGGGTTTTAAGCCTCCTGACAAACCGTTACACCGCGCCCACCTGTCAATCAGGTCAGCTACACGCCTTATTGTGAATAACTCTTATCCTTCATCAAATCAAAACTGATGAGTCATCAAAACATTCACCCCCCGTACAGTGTGTGTCCATCCAGACATGAGCTAATCACACCTATTTGTTTTTTTGAACCAGGCTGTAAACATGTTCATCTCTGCTGTAAAAACAGGCTTTTTAGAATGGGTGTGTATGTGACTTCCTGTGCTTCTGCAGCCAGCCTCTAGTGGACACTCCAGGAACTGCAGGATTTTACACTTCAGCATCGACTTTATTTTTTAACACCAGAGGTTGCTGCTTGACACACAGAAAACAGAGACTCTGAGTTTCATTCAGCTTGACTTCAGTTACTGAAAGTTAAAAAGTGTTTCTCAGTATTTAATATCGTCATATCTTCCACCCTGTCACATAATCTGTTTTTAAACATGCAGCTTCTTTAAGTTTTCATCCATCAAATTTACAAATAAACCAACTCTCATGAGGACAAAATGTAAAGGAAGAATGTGTGACACATAAATAAATCATAAAGTCTGTCCTGTGTAAATGTGTCTCTGAGTCCTGACTGTCTACAATGAGGGAGAAGCTCGAGTCCCGCTGGCTGTGTTGTTGTCAGAGCCGTGTTTACATGGACGGGAAGGCCGGCTCCTCCCCTTGTGTATAAAAGCTGTTTTAGTCAAGAACTAGAGAGAAGAAGAAGAACATACTCACTGATTATTTGGATGTTAGTAAGAGTTTTTAGATCACGCTCATTCTGTGTCAGTTTACATGAAATGTGAAGCTACGAGCTAACTAAAGAGCGCTAACATTAGCATGCTAACACAACAATGTGAAGCTACGCTAAAGAGCGCTAACATTAGCATGCTAAAACAATAACGCAGGACACAGGTGATTGCAGCTCGAGCAAAGGACAAGTTTGTCCGCCGCTTGAGCTTAACTCCTTTCGAATACGAGGTCAGAGGGGTTGGAGGTGTGTCTCTGCAGGAGAGCGGAGGCTGCAGGATGGAGGAGGCGTGGCCAAACAGGAAGTTTGTTTTGGTTTTATGCTGGTGCTCAAGGGGCGACATCTACTGGATCAAAAAGTCGCACATTCTTCCTTTAAAATAAACGTTCTAATAGCGATATCAAAGAGTAATCCAGCTAATCACCAAACAACATTCAAAAGGTTCGTAAATGAGAAGAGAACGATACAACCTTAATCTACAGTCGTGCTAAATAACAACAGTGACATCTAGTGGTGAAATTGGAGAAAACGTTGTGTAGAAGCAGCAGTTTCTTGTAAACTCTATAGCGCAGTGAGAAGCAAAGTTTTGGCACAAAATAATCCGGCATGAAAACACAAATAAGGTAGAGATGTCGCAGTATCAGAATTGATAACTTATACGATTCTAGTCAAACTGATTAGTGTTTAAATTCCACGGCAACAAAAATAGAAGTCCTAGAAACCAAAGATTGTTTATTGTCTTGTTTTAATTATCATAAATTCCAAGAAAACTCCTGCACTCTTACTTCTTGCATTTCTTTCCTGGATTCTTTCTGTTTTTTCAAAAGTTTCTATATTTTTGATTCTGAGTTGATTCAGTCTGTTTGGGCCCAGGGCAAACAAGAGGGAGTGGTGTCAGATGGGACCCGTTAGGCTGGTTTCCTATACCCCCATTGCAAAAATTAGCATGTTTTTGGACGCTGCTTTGGGGCCCCCTACTGGTCTGGGGCCCCAAAGCAGTTGCCTGTTGACAAGCAGCGCCTCTGGATATCGATCATTAAAATAACAGACTGTATCGTTTTAAAACATGTGGTTTAAAAAATTCTTGAATATTTTGACACTTTGAGAAGAAGAAACCGTTTAAAGCAAACTGACCCCGGAACATAAATTGAATTTGTCCTGCTCCTTTAAAAAAAGAGACTTACAAACTCAGTCACCCCTGCAGTAATTCACCAACCAGATTACAGGAAACCAGGTTGGGGTTGTACGCGTCTTATCAGGCATCTGAACACACTGAAGGTCAGCAGCCAATCAGCAGCGAGATCCTGCAGACTCAGAAGTAGACACTGCACACCTGATAAGAAAAACTGGAACTAATCATTCAATATGAAAAACACACACGAGGAAGGAACCATCAGCATCTTCTGTTTTCTTAAAGGAACAAACACCAGGTCACCAGCAGGGGGCGATAAAGGAGGAGGGGGTAAACCTGGGGGGGTCAGGTGACCCACCACGTCTTTGAACGTACCGTTTTCATGCTCACAGGATCCTTCACTACTTCCTATCTCGAGGTTTTCCTGGTTGAATTAAATTGATGGACTGTGATTGGCCGGCCACAGCTAAGGGGCGGGGCTTAAAGATTGGTCATATCTTCATCACAGTCTGAAACTAGACGCTGAGGTCAATAGAGGTGATCTCAGGTGACCAGGTAAAGATTCACTCGGTCTGAACTGTTCTTTTATGGCGTCAGAGGTCGGTTTGTTTTTTTTCCGCTCAGAGTTCGATGTTCGGTGCGCGGCCAACGCTCCGCCCCTCGCACTCCTTCTCGAAGTCGCAGCCGTCCAGCAGGTGGCGGTATACGGCCCTGACGTCCCGGTACAGCGGCGCGTCTTCATTCTCGAGCCCCGGGAATCGGACCGGCGACTCGTTGACGAGCAGCTGCAGGCGCGGGCCTCGCTGGCAGTCGTACAGGACGAAGAGCACGTTGGCGGCGTACGGGACGATGAGACTCGAGCGGAAACTCCTTCCTGTGAGACACGACAAGTTCAGGTGTGTAGACATTTTTCAGTTCAGACAGTTCAGTGTTACATTATTTAGATGTGAAACGCAAAGCAACTTAACGGAAACTACAACAGGAAGTGGGAGTGCCAAAAGCCAATTTTGGTAACCTAGCAACAGCAAACGTGAGAAATGCTCTGAAACAGACGGTCGAAGCGCTGCTAGCAAAGTCAGAAAACAAAACTTTAGAGGACCTAAAAGTTAGCAGCCATTTTGTTTGAAGAGATACATTTTGTGTCCTCATCTCTGATTGGATGTCAGGACATGGGTGGGGCTTCTTACCGTGCTGTGAGTGGTAGTTGCTGGCGGTGGGCGGAGTCTGGTCCTTGTAGAGTCCCAGCAGGGAGAGGAGGGGGAGGAGCGTCTCAGCGTGACCCACCAGGATGGAGGCGGGCTCCGGCGGCTCGTCTGTGGCCCTGCGGGACGCCGGCAGCGACAGTCAGACTGACTTCCTACTTTACAGAGTTTAAATTCTACACAGAGGCGATTTGTGTTTGTGTGTGATGTCACCGACCTGCGGGGACGTCCGGCTTTGTCGAGCGTCCTGAAGACGTGGTGGAAGAGGGGACAGCTGGACATACTGCTGATGGCGTGACCGTGAGAGCGCTTCCAGTACTGCTTCAGGTCCGACTTGTACTCTAAAACCTGCAGCAGTGCACGAGTTAATCCAGCTGTTTGACCACTTCCTGTTTCTGTTCTTAACTTCATGTCTTAACCTTCCATCTACCAGAAGGGTCTTACTTTATTTCAAAATAAAAGCACAAAGCAAGTAAAGTAATTCGAAATTTCAAAATAAAAGCCTGACAATTTGCTAATTTAAAGTGTTTGTTGTGTGTGTGTGTGTGTGTGTGTGTGTGTGTGTGTGTGTGTGTGTGTGTGTGTGTGTGTGTGTGTGTGTGGTGTGTTACCTTTGCGTCCTTCTCGTCAAACAGGAAACACCACGCGAGTTACAGACTTGATGGAGAGCTCGTGAACACAAGAAGAACGCAGCTTCGACACAGTTACAGGAGCCACAGAGGACAAACTTCAGTCTGTGTGTGTGTGTGTGTGTGTGTGT